CCCCCCCCCCACCGGGGCAAAATGGGTTAAACACAAGTGAACTTGATAGTAAATATTCTCAATCTTCCACTGAATTTTTTTTCATCCCAATCCGTGCACTTGCACCCGAGAAATCCGACAGAACAAGAAAGCAACGAAAATCAAACCAATTCTCCCCCCAAAATTTTCTAATAAAGCTTTCACGCTCATAAACTTTTAACCAAATGGACCGATCCTAAAATACTCTTCTTCATTACCAAGGTCTTCTCGTGACCTTTCCAATGACCTGAAATTGAACTTCTCCATCTAAATCCACTCCTGAGATATTGAACTTTGTACCGAAGAAATTAAAAAATTGATATCAATCCGTGAAATTCAAATTTTTAAGAATTCATTGTTCCTTTTTTTTTCTCACCTACCACCGCGGCAAAATGGGTTCAACACGCGTGAACTTGATCGTAAATATTCTCAACTTTCCATTGAATTTTTTTTCATCCCAATCCGTGCACTTGCACCCGAGTTATTCCTCCCCGTTTTTGTTTCTCCTCCCCCCAAGAATCCAAGTAATTATTCCAGCTCGAGAATTTAAATTTAATACCTTTTTATTTAATTTTTTACAGTCTGGTAGTTTGAACAAGAAAGCACTGGGGTCAAAATTGGTATTACACTGGGGAGGGAGAGTTTTCTCTCGCACGCGCGCGCACAAGTTCAGGTGACAGATGGCCGACAAAGTAGGAATTTTAGCCCATGGAATGTCAGCTGTTGCTACTGGGAGCTCTTGTGTGCAACACTCAGCTGCTCTCAACATGTACTCGCTCCTCTATAGTTTTTTAGTAATTTTTTAACACTATCTGCGGAATTTTTGGGGAGGCGATGATGCACGAAATTTTAATGATTCCAGGAGAAGAGTGAATTCTATTTTATGGGGATGTTTCCTCCATTTTTCTAATGGCGAAACTTATGAAACAGATCGTTTGGACTACAAATTACATTAAATTTTATGATGAAAATAAAATGAGAAAGCTTCCAAGAGTATTTGCAATTTTACGTGCAGATGTTTTTAGAGGAAAGTGGTCAAACTCAAAAAATTTAAACAACTAAATTCGCAAATATCTCGAAAACTATGGGGTCTGCGGAAAAATACCTAAAGAACTTTTTTGTAGCATATGAAACTCTTCACAACAAATTTCTTATGACATTTTTTTCTAAACCTCATCCCCTTGGAGGTATCCGCAATTAAATTGTCAAGTACGTTTTAGGATATTTTCGTCAATGACTTAATTTCAAGACTGCATTCACAGAAATTTGGGAATATCTCCGAAACTATTAGTCTTATCAAAAAATATTTGAAAAACTGTTTTGTAGCCCATAAAATTCTGCACACAAAATGGTTTATCACTTTTTCTGATAAACCTCCCCCTTTTCAAGATATTTGCAACGTTACTTTCAGGTTTTTGTTAAAGAAAGTTGTTTAGCTCAAAAAATATAGACAACTGAATTCGAAAATATCTCGAAAACTATGGGGTTTACAGAAAAATACCGGAAGAACTTTTTTGTAGCCCATGAAATTCTCCACAAAAAATGTCAAATGGCATTTTCTCCTAAACCCTTTTCTTCTCGAGAAATGGAGCCTTTTATTCTTGTCGTCCATTTCTTTCTGCATTAATTCACAATAATTCTAGATTCTAGGCACTCACCGGTATCGTTCTGGCAGCGCTGGTGGTTTTCCTCACGATCCCCACTCCGAATTTACCTCCGTAACCTCTCCTCTGCAACAGAAACCAGAATAAACAATTAACACGACCATCAGAGACTCCCCAAAAATTTTATTCAAGAGTAAAACAAGAGGATATGACGTGCATTCTGTGGGTCAGAGACGTGCCGGGTCAACAATAGCTCCCGTTACCTCCGGCCACATCATTCTGATGTTGAAAAGTCGCATGAAGAGCACGCGGGAACAGATGTCGCGCTAGTTATGTCCAATGAACGTCCCAAACAGCTAACCATCTCTTATCTACTTGCAAGAATGACCTCGGGAAGGAAAAAGAGGGGAAAAAGGAAAGGACTTGATTAAGTGCCGTCTCTACTTTAGTCCAGTCACAATGGTACCGACAATTTATCGCGGAATTAACTCGAAATGAAAAAAATATATCTCGCCTGGTGTATTTAATAAATCCGCAGTAAAAAGAATTTTTGATTGAGTTATTTAGTCATTTCGCTAGATTGGTTAATTCGATAGTCCTTTTTGAATTAATTGTTTATAGTCATTCTCATTGCAAAAATCAATACGACCGATGAGAATCATGTCCCAATTTATCAGTTGTTGAATTTTCACATTACAATAAATGATTTGCCCATGTTCTAATTCCTATGCTCACTGAATATGATTTTAATCATAACTACAATTCAATTCCTTCTAGAACACACTTTAGAGCGTGAATTTCTGGACTTCAATGTTTGTTGATACTCTGGTAAAAGTGCGTGCCCACACTGTTATCAATTTTTAGTTTGTTCCCACGGTAATTCAATTAATCTGTTGTTCATCTCATCAATATAATTCCGTGCTTAGAATATTGTCATCTCGTGTTTTCAGCACCAAATTAAAAATTAAAACTTCATTTGGAATATTGAGTCACAGCTTCTTTTTATTCATATCAGAAATTTCGTATTTGAATATTAATATTATTTGTTCAAAGTGAAAAAATCGATCATCATTTTCACTATATTGCATTCAGATTCTCCTATCTTTAACGTCAAAAATGTGAGATAATCTCATAATTCTAGCTATTAATTCTAATCAACTTTGTTCGAAGAAAACCTTAGTAAACGCAATATTAAGAAAGTAGAATTATTCGATTTTCCTCTGACCTAAATAATTTCGACAACTGTGATTCGTTTATTCATGTTCCATAGAATGGTATTCAATTCTCTTTTGTTTGTTAGGCGGGCTCCATGAAAATTCGACGCAAGGCGAGTCTACTCATGAAAACCGCCTTATTTTCTCCATTCGTTCGAGATATTCGCCATGTAAAAAATCACTGTGAATTGCAATCAAGTGGTTTTTAAAAATTTATTTTCACATTTTTGCTTATTTATCCTGCGGAAAGAGTGATCGGTAACCGATGATTTGGAATTTCCTGACGAATATGAAATAAAAATGAGGTAAACGTGAATGAAACCCCTCAGTCTGCATCAATTTTGTATCTCATCGTATAAACTCAGAGATGGAATTTCCTGGAGGGGCACCGCCGGATATTCACTCCCACTTTTCCTATGAGTATTTGCGACCCCGATTGGATCAACTTTCTTCCGAGTAGATTTTAATGTTTCGTTCTATTTGAAGTATTTCGATTTTCAATTTTCAAATTAAATTTGAATTTCCGATTTTTCGAATTTCCGTGCTCAGATTGAGATAAAAAAAAAAAATGACTGAAGAGGTCCTAAAATTATCAACAAAATGCCCTCATTATAAGCCCATTTTACCCCGGTTATTGATGACAAAAAAATTGAGCAAGATTGAACTGTAAAAAATTTAAGTTTCACCGATTGATATGAATTTTTCGATTTCTTCAAATTCAAAGTTGAACATCTCGGGACTCGAAGGAGATAATGGAGTTTAATTGTAGATCATCCGAAAGGTCAAGGGAAGACCTTGAAAATGACGCATAGTATATCGGGATTTGTTCATTAGGTTCAAAGATAATGCGCTTGGAATTTTTATAAAAAATTTGGATACAGAATTAGTTTGATTTTCGTTGGTTTCTTGTTCCGTCGGATTTGCGGGAATGAGTGCACGGATTGATCGGAAAGAAATTTCATAAAAAAAGGTAAAATTACCGACAAAAATTCACTATTCATGAATTCATTTTGCCCCGGGGGTTCGTGAGGAAAAAAATTAAACCAGAATGAATTATGAAAAGCCTTAAGCTTCACCGATTGCTATAAAACTCCAAATGCCTCAAAAACTATTAATCATATCGAAAACAGCTAAATTTAATTTCAAAGGTCATGGAACCCCCCACGAAAATCACTATGAAGAGTCTCAAAACCCCCCCACCAGTATCTCCTCAAAATCCCCCATACCCATGAACCCATAAAAATTCATTAACGCCACTCGTTCAAATTCCCCAAAACCCACTGAAAAATCATCATCTCAAAGCTACTGAGTGTCACCTGCGTTGATGAAAAAAAATCCCCTGAAAAGTTCCCAAAAATCCCGACAAAATCCACTGCACATAACCCCATACAGCCCCCCTGCTTGGTGATGAAAAAAAATTGTACAAAAATAAATTCTAAAAGCCCTCGAGTTTCACGGTTTGATATAAAACTCCAAACCCCTCAGAAACGACTCATCATATCGAGACGATTTGAATTTCATTAAAAACAGCCTGAAATTCCCTGCAAGCTCCCCTAAAAAGAGCCTCAAAACCCCCCGCGAGTTGCCCCGCGACCACATAAAACCACGAAAACCCATCGCCATCACTCGTTCGAGTGAATCAAAATTATCTTTCGAGCATAATTCGTAAAAGCGGAAGTGGTCGTCTACGTTATGTTCTGGTGGATCCGCAATTAAGTTGGTGGGACAGGTAAAGGGAGAAGAGCACATCAACTCCATCTCCCTCTATCCCACAAAACGTTCCGGGAGTATAGCCCCTTTAATTCAAAGGAATTCCCCGACGCTGGGAATTTCGTCACGGCTCTGCGAACCGTCAATTTATTTTCAACGTGCGAAAGCATCCGCCCTGAGGGTTGAAAATACCCACTACCAGTCCTTACCCCTTGCCACCTCCCCCTCCCCCGCCCTCCCTCCATCTAAAATGTATGAGAATAATCGTGTAATATCCCTTAAACTCCGCAGAATAGTTTTGACGTAGATTTCAAACTAAAATCATACGATTTTAATTGTTTCCGTGAGAGTTGAGACGATAATTGGATCCGGATTGAACCCAGAATCTCTTATGAATGATTGAAAATGGATTAATCCGCTGGCGGAAGTAAATCTCTCGATTAAACAATTTCTTCTCAATTTTAACATTTCTGAAATTTTGAAATTTCGCGGGCGACTGATGGGGGTGGGGATGGCTGGATGGCCAGGGAAATTTCCGGTTGAAAACTCGATATCACGTTGTATTTTGGCCGCATAAGTTCTGAGATAATTAAGAAAAACTTCTGATGAACATTTTTTTTTCATTATCTCGATATCTGATTGAAACAATCGAATCATCTTCTTGAGTTTTCCAGCGGAAAATTTTCTGATTACCCATGGGGTTCAGTTTCCACCCCGTAAAGATAAAATAAAGTTGCGGTAATTTTTGAAAATATCATCCGGAACTAGATTTCGGCCGGCATTTAATACAAAAGATAAACTCATCTGAAAGTTCCTGAAATTCAATCTGAAACTTTGATTTTCCGTTGTGGAATATAGAGCTGGATTTTATTCATCAACGTGGAGCGATAATTTTATACAAAGACGGACTTTACGTACTAACTAACCCTCCGGGTTGACGCGTCAAATTTCATTAGCCTTTTTGCACTCACTGGGGGGTGAGCTTTAATCAATCTCGAGTGAATTTGCATCACGAATGAATGAGGCGAAAACAATTTAATTGTAGATGATTCAAAGGGGCTCATAAAAATCAACGGACTCGCTCTTTTCAGGTCTAAATTCGTTTTAAACTTGAGACTGTATTTTTACACCCTGAGGCCATCGTGGGATTTTTCTTTGGGGTTTTATAACGGAAATTTTCAGTGGAGGCTATAAATTCGGGTTTTTCCGGACGCAAATGAATCCCAATCCGCGAATGAGAATTTTAGATACGGAGTCCGTAAAGTAGAATTTTATCATTACCGTCCGTAAAATAGTCTTTTTTTTACACTCTGCGTAAAATGGAATTTTTCGGACGCTTCGTGTCCGTTAATTCTGCTATTGCAAAGGCGGTAAAATTTTATTTTTACGGACACGGATAAATCCCTGTCTGCGAATGGGAATTTCAGATACAGAGTCCGCAAAGTAGAGTTTTACTATTGCCGTCCGTAAAATAAAATTTTCTTCACACTATCCGTAAAATGGAATTTTACGGACTGCAGACCGAGACGAATCCGAGAAATTTTCAGCAGAGGCTGTAAAATTGTAAAGGAGTACGTAAAGTAGAATTTTCGCACCTCTGTCCGCAAAAAGTACTTTCTGACTCATCTGATTATAATCCTTACAGAATTATAATGCCACATTCGTTAAATAATATTTTTATCGGCTTCGTGACATAATGCGCTATTCTGAAAGCAGCCAGTAAATCAGAATTTTTCGAACGCCACTCGTAAAATAAAATATAATTTTACGGATGGTGTCTGTAAAGTAGAATTTTTGTACACGTATTCGGTGAAGTAAAATTTTTGAATGCCGTTTGTAAAATAAAATCTAACGAATGTCGTCCGAAAAGTAGAATTTCACGTACCCATTTCATAATGCAGAGTTTTTGTATGATTTTTTTTTTTAAATGGGCGAAAACAACCGGGCAAAATAGATTCGATTATGGAATTCCGTAACGGTAATTTCGCAGGCTATCAAATGAGGTCATACTCGTACCACTCTCTCAGAAAACTCATAAAATTGTAATTAACAAAAAGCAATTTCTTGTTACTCAGATTTTCTCTTTTTTTAACACTCGTGTAAAAGACTTGAAACAATGTGGCAACAGTGGAAACGCCACTCGGACGCTTGGGTCAACACACTCTCAATGTGGAACAGGGGCAATTAGTTGAAAACGAGAAA